ACCGGAAGTCATTGTTCCCGATACCCTAGCCCTTTTATCACTATTTGAATTCGTGTTTTGAGCTATGAGTTTGGAATAGCTAGTCTTATTTTAGAATTCGTTGTTGATAAAAAAACAAAAAATATTGAATTATAATGTTTAAGACTTTGTTTCTTTTTCGGTGATTGAGTAAGCGTTTAATCCGGCCAACCTTCCTTAAGAGACGACCCGGTGTTTGAATCTTTTGATTTAACTCCGGTAAAAATACTTACGACATGTCTCCTGACAGAAGAGTCTCTCCATCTCTACCATAGAAGACGTAATAGAGAAAGGGGGACACGACATACATCGACCAAAACCCACCCACCGAAAAAGGGATGAACCGATCGCACAACCCCACCCTCACAGCCGTTTGGCCGCCCATAAGAACCTGTCGTTGCATCTTAACTCATGGAGAAATCCGCTTCGGACAACGACAGAACGAAGGCTGAGGGGCGAAGCGAAAGTCGCGTTGGAGTTGTTCGTCTCCATTGTGGCTCAGAGCTTATGGCTGAAAGGAGGCAAACCAGAGGCGGATGAACAAGTTCTGGGAGGCTTCAAATTGAAGGAAAATACGCGAGCACCACATTTAAAGGCTAAATTGAAAATTGTCCTATTAAATTATGAAGGTAGCAATTTGTTTTATTGGAGTGACATGTTGTATTTTAGTTCATGTAATTTAAAATTTTGCTGCAATTTCAGTCATCTGGCTGTCAAAATTCTCACTTCATATATTGGGATGAATTTTGATTAACAATTTAGGTTATGCTTTTTGCAATTTCACATTTTGATTGTCAAAATTGGGAATTTAACTGTCAATAGACTTAAACTGAAAATTTTGAATTGCAAGATTTAAATTGATATGTTCACATCAATGAGATATTAATTGCTACATTCATAATCAAATATGACCAAAATTGCAATTTGGCCATATATAAATGCATAAAAATAGAGATTCCTTGGATTATTTGTTTTCTTTTATAAATTGATGAAGTAAGATAGTTTACAATGTCACATTCGTCAGAAAAAAACGGCACGATACAACACCTATCCGATCAAGCAAACTATTCTCCCAATTTAACAATTTTCAGTCAACAATTTTCTCAAAGTAGACAATACAAAAATAAAATGCTCTAGCATTTCGTTGCCAACCTAACTTTGAAAGATAAATTTCTTATATAGTTGTTTCTTGTTCTACTAAATCTCTTTAGTACAGTACGTACCTAGTGCGATGCACGAGACTGAAATATTAAATAAGTAATTTTCACATGTTTTGTCCGTTTAAGTATATAAAATAATAGGGTTATCATCTATTTTTCACCTCATTTAGTTAGCGTTAAGTGTAATAAACAATAAGGTTATAATCTATTTTGCACCCTTTTTAATCAACATTATTTTTTTTACTCAACACATTAAATATGAGCATGTTAGGGTTAGCTTGTAAAATAATTAATATATTATCTTACTAACACATTTATACTAATATAAATTTGATTTTAGTATATATATTTATTCCTTGATATAAGAGAGAATAACAATATTACTGATATTACTTATTCTTGTTCACCATATAATACTTAATTATTATTTTATTATAAACTTTGTTGTCATATAATGTCATTATTATTTATAAAGTTATAGAAGTTGTAATGAAAAATATTTAATGCACGTTAGTATTATTTATTTATGCAATCAATTTAAAATATGTAAATAAATTTAAAATTAAATAGTGTATAAATATTTTACAAAATATACACATGTTTTATTTTTTAAAAAAATTTAATTTTGTATACTAATTAAACAACTTTGATTTAGAAAATTTCAAAAACTCAATCTCTTCTATGATCAAGACTTTTCTAATTAGCACTATAAAGATTTATAGTTTATTAGCATCCTCTGCAATGAAAATATATTTGACAAGAATTTAAATATAGAAATAAACCAAAAACAATAATAATAATTATAGGTGCCAATGATATACACATAAATTCTAAAAAATAGTTAATATATTCAATTTATTTTTTTACAATTACTAAAACTATTTAATGTATTTGGTCATTATCTCTTTTTTTTTTTCGAAACGATAGAGATGATATTAAACTCAAACCGCGAACAATGTTCGAATACAACGAAGCCAGCCAAGCCGGAATGAAAACATGAGAGGACACACTTAGAAAGCGGCCTAGATCGAAACCGAGACAAGGAAAAAGAGCTAGCCTAACTAACCACTGCAAATGCCTAGCTAGCAAGCTAACAACCAAGAGGAACCAAAGAAGAAAGAAAGAGACAAACCAAAGCCAAACAACAAAAACTGAAAAAAGCTACCAACTACTAATAAGACTGCAAAGAGCAAAACTCAAGCCATTCTTTGTGAGCAGTTTTGATGACCACCGGGATAGGCATTTTAGTTTGCTCAAAAAGTCAAAGATTCCTCGACCTCCAGAGCCACCAGAGGAGATAAGTAGTGAGTTGGATGCGATCCTCGGCCACTTGGGAATTGTCAAGGGAGCAGAGTTGCCACCACCAAAATTTGAAAGAGCAGTTTTTCTTGCACAGTTCATCCCACTGCACAGGCCCCATTTTCCACAGCAATTTAGCCCTTTGACAGAAGAAGAAAACATGCTCGATGGTTTCCAGACATTCCCCACAGCAAGGACACAAATGATCCACATGAATGCCCCTCTTAACCAGATTGGTTCTGACAGGCAGCAACCCAGAAAAACATTTCCAAAGAAAGAGCCTAACTGTACCTTTAATTTTCAGTCCCCAACTTCTCAGCCTAGCTTTGCTACCAGCAGGGTAGTTGAAACTAGTTCCAGGAATATCAAGTAGCAGCAGCTTTTGCTTAATTAAGTGAGAGTAAGTTGAGGAGACAGAAAACTGACCATTCTTTTCAAAACCCCAGTACAATCTGTCAGGCTTCCTTGGATTAAGAGATTTGATGTTGAGGATTGCATTGCTTTCCTCTTCACTGAACAGCTGCTTCACAAGCCATGAGTTCCAACCCCAGTCATTGTCAAGTAAAAGTTCTTTAACCCAAGTAATATGACCCCTTGCAATATTCAATAGATTGGGCTTGAAGTTAGGCAATGAAGGAATCCAATTAGTGTTTTCAATTCTAGTACTGACCCCATCCCTGACTTCAGTTCTCAGACCTTGAGCAAACACAGGCAAACAGTCCACCCAGGTGTTGCACAGCCAAGACCCATTTTGGGTTTTAGACACCTCAAGGATGGAGCAATGGGGAAAGTACCTGTCTTTCAGAACTCTTGACACCAAGAGATCAGGCTCTGAGGTAATTCTCCATAACTTCTTGCAAATAAGTGCAACATTGAACAAGCTGACCTCCTTAAAGCCAATGCCACCCTAAGATTTTGGCAAGGTAAGAAATTTCCAAGCTCTCCAGTGTATACCTTGCTCTTGAGATTCACCTTTACTCCACCAAAAAAACTTTGCACTGATACAGCTGAAGATAGCATCTTGTTTTTCCAACTCTCAAGTCTAGCTTTCACAGAGTCCAGCACATAAGAGAAGGTTTCTGTTTTTGATTTTCCAATGCCAAGAGAAAAGCCTGTATCTTTCCAGAAGATTCAATAGGACTCGAGCTTGCCTGACCTCTGCCTTACAAAAGAATATAGCATCGTCTGCAAAGAGTATGTGGGATATAGCTGGACCATTTATGGACAATTTAAGTCCCACCAGATCATTATTATTTACAGCATCAGATAAGAGTGCAGAGAGGAGTTCATATACAATTATAAAAAGATAGGGGGACAGAGGGTCCCCCTGTCTTATGCCCCTTGAAGGGTAGACAACTCCAGTGAGAGATCCATTAATACAGAAAGAGAGAGAGAGGATGTGGACACACAGACCATCAGTAATTTCACAAATTCATGACTAAAACCCATCTGAATCATAACTTTCTGCAAGCAGACCCATTCCACCCTGTCAAATGCCTTCATGAGATCAAGTTTCAAAGCCATAAAACAATTCCCCCCTGATCTATGTCTGTTAAGGAAGTGGAAAGCCTCTTGAGCAAGAATAACATTATCTAAAAGTTGTCTTCCCTGGATGAAAGCAGATTGACAGACACTAATGCAAGAGTCTAAACAATTCTTCAATCTCAAAGCCAGAATTTTAGAAAGAGTTTTATAGACCACAGTACACAGAGATATAGGTCTGAAATGGGTTATTGAGTCAGGGTTAATACATTTAGGCACAAGGGTGACAAGGGTGTGATTCCAGTATTGAAGGATAGCACCAGAGTCAAAGAAACTACCAATGGCAACAATAAAGTCAATGTGAATAATATCCCAGAAGTGCTGATAAAAGAATGGGGTCATACCATCTTCTCTAGGGGAATTGTGAGGCTGTAGACTAAATAGAGCTGATTTAATTTCCTCTGGGTCAATAGGCTTCAGAAGGTCTTGGTTCATGTCATCAGATATAGTTCTAGGAATGAGATGCAGCATAGAATCTCCTCCCCAAGAGCCCTCAGAGGTGAACAACTCAGAGTAATAGCTGGTAATGTGGCCCTCAATCTCACTTTTGGTCTGGTAAGTAGAGTGTCTGTCAGAGATAAGTCTAGAGATGACATTCTTTCTCCTTCTGTGTTGAGTGTAGGCATGAAAGAACTTAGAGTTAGTATCACCCTCTCTAAGCCATTTCATTCTAGTTTTCTGCTGCCAGAACTTTTCTTCAACCACATGAGCTTGCTCAAGATCTCTGTGAGTCTGATCCCAGTCATCCCAGTTAGAACAAATACCAGCCATTCTAATTTCATCCATTTTTAGAGTAAGCTCTTCAATCCTTGCTTGATTCTGGGATTTGAATTTAGAGTTCCAAAGAAGGAGAGCCAACCTTGTAGCTTTAATCTTCTCTTTTAAATGAAGAATGGAGTACCAGCCTGGGGTTGAGACCAAGCCTTCAAAATAATCTCAGAACACTCCTACTTTTCAGTCCACCTTCTATAAAAAATAAACCTTTTTTTTCTGATTTTCTGATTTGCAGCCTGTGTTAAGAAGAATCAGTGAATGATCTGAGGCACTCCTAGCAATGTTGAGAACAGAGGCCTCAAGGAAGGTATTGAACCATTCAAAGGAACCATAGGCTCTATCAAGTTTCTCTTCGACAAATCCCTCAGCATCTCGATTGTTGCCCCAAGTGAATTGGTAGCCCACCATGCTAACCTCATCCATTTCCATATTCTGAATGAAAGAATTGAAATGAGCAAAGCTAAAATCACTCCGGACTCTGCCACCTTTCTTTTCTGCCATAGAGCAAAGATCATTCCAGTCCCCAATGAGAAACCAAGTATCTCCCCAAGATAGTTTTTCTTCTTCCAAAAGTCTCCACTGAGAGGCTCTAATGGCTTTGTCAGTACTCATGTACACAAAAACTCCCCAGCCTTTATCTACATTATCAACCTTAAAGTGAACTGAGATGAAGAAATCCTTTGAGACTAACTGGATAATCTCAACTTCAGGTTTCCAAAAAAGAACAAGCCCCCCACAGAGGCCCCTAGGATCCACAATAGCTTGCCTGTCATCAAAACCCAATTTCCTACCAATAGATTTAACAAAAGAATTTGTTTTTTTTTTTTT